TATTTACATAATTCGGACTATTGTCCTCATCTTTATCGCCATATTTATTACAACGTTTCGGCCTTTCAGTATCTGTCTATATTTCTGAGATTAATAGTACACTATTTACATTATTCGGACTATTGCCCTCATCTTTATCGCCATATTTATTACAATGTTTCGGCCTTTCAGTATCTGTCTATATTTTGAGATGAGGTATTATGTACACTATTTACATTATTTTATTGTCCTCATCTTTATCGCCATATTTATTACAACGTTTGGACCTTTTAGTATGTGTCTATATTTCTGAGATGAGATATTATGTACACTATTTACATATTTATGTATATATGTATTTATTACAACGTTTCGGCCCTTCAGTATCTGTCTATATTTCTAACAAGTGGTATTAAGTACACTATTTACATAATTCGGACTATTGTCCTCATCTTTATCGCCATATTTATTACAACGTTTCGGCCTTTCAGTATCTGTCTATATTTCTGAGATGAAGTAATATGTACACTATTTACATTATTCGACTATTGCCCTCATCTTTATCGCCATATTTATTACAATGTTTCTGGCCTTTCAGTATCTGTCTATATTTCTGAGATGAGGTATTATGTACACTATTTACATAATTCGGACTATTGTCCTCATCTTTATCGCCATATTTATTACAACGTTTCGGCCTTTCAGTATCTGTCTATATTTCTGAGATGAAGTAATATGTACACTATTTACATTATTCGGACTATTGCCCTCATCTTTATCGCCATATTTATTACAATGTTTCGGCCTTTCAGTATCTGTCTATATTTCTGAGATGAGGTATTATGTACACTATTTACATAATTCGGACTATTGTCCTCATCTTTATCGCCATATTTATTACAACGTTTCGGCCTTCAGTATCTGTCTATATTTCTGAGATGAAGTAATATGTACACTATTTACATTATTCGGACTATTGCCCTCATCTTTATCGCCATATTTATTACAATGTTTCGGCCTTTCAGTATCTGTCTATATTTCTGAGATGAGGTATTATGTACACTATTTTAATTCGGACTATTGTCCTCATCATTTTATCGCCATATTTATTACAACGTTTCGGCCTTTCAGTATCTGTCTATATTTCTGAGATGAAGTAATATCACTATTTACATTATTCGGACTATTGCCCCATCTTTATCGCCATATTTATTACAATGTTTCGGCCTTTCAGTATCTGTCTATATTTCTGAGATGAGGTATTATGTACACTATTTACATTATTCAGACTATTGCCCTCATCTTTATCGCCATATTTATTACAACGTTTCGGCTTTTCAGTATCTGTCTATATTTCTGAGATGAAGTAATATGTACACTATTTACATTATTCGGACTATTGCCCTCATCTTTATCGCCATATTTATGACAATGTTTCGGCCTTTCAGTATCTGTCTATATTTCTGAGATGAGGCATTATGTACACTATTTACATTATTCAGACTATTGTCCTCATCTTTATCGCCATATTTATTACAACGTTTCGGCCTTTCAGTATCTGTCTATATTTCTGAGATGAAGTAATATGTACACTATTTACATATTCGGACTATTGTCCTCATCTTTGTCGCCATATTTATGACAATGTTTCGGCCCTTTAGTATCTGTTTATCTTTCTTAGATGAGTTATTATGTATACCATTTGCATTATTAGTATTATCATCCTCATCTTTGTTGCCATATTTATTACAACGTTTCGGCCATTCAGTATCTGTTTATATTTCTAACAAGAGGTATTATGTACACTGTTTACATTATTCAGACTATTGTCGTCATCTTTGCCATATTTATCTCAACGTTTCGACAGTTGGACGCTCCGGAGTTTTTCAGGTGGCTAGAACGTCCCGAAGGACACGTCGCCCACCGGATAAAGGCTTTAGTTAAATCCAATGAGAGAACCCAAAAGTGTGTGAGTTCAATACCTTGGTTATGACGGTGGAGAACTTGGAGAGTCGAATTAACAGGAGATAACTGATAACTGACATCCATTAGACATGACACGTGTAGAACAATCTACCCCAGCGAGCGAAATTAATGGTTCTGTTCGACAGTCCAACTACGTTGTGATAAATATTGCAACAAATATGAGGATTGTAGTCCGAACAATATAATCTCAGAAATATAGACAAACACCAATATACTACAACACGAAAATAATAATAGCAAAACCTACAAATTCCCACGGACGTTTATATCAAAACCAACCAATCAGCCAACTCACCAACAATCAACTAAATTTAAGTGCATATATCCACCATTTTACATTTCTACCAATTATTATCATACGGGCAAATATTCATAGCACATAGAAATTTTTAATTTACTGTATTTCCAACGAATGAATAAACATACTTTTAATAAAATTAACTGTATACAGATGCATAATAACTAAATATGCACAGAAAATAGAAAAAAAAATGATTCAATAGAAATAAATCCAATTTATCCATTGGGTGAAAAATGTATTCGTACAATGCAAATTTCAGATTTTAAAAATTTTAAATTGATAGATTATTCAAGTGGAATATTCTAGAATGTCCCAATAATGTTACAAGTAGAATGGTAACACCTATATCATGGAATCTATATGAATAAATGCGAAAGTGAAGCTCAATTTGACCACGAGATTTAAAAGCCCCAGATCTGCTTTATAGTAATTTTATTTAATCACTGACCCCACACGTCGTCAAGTTGGAACACAAGGTCGGTTTAATGCGTACATCATCCCGGCTATTTCTTTCTTTTTCTCTCTCTCTCTCTCCATATATATATATATATATATATATATATATACGCATAAATTCCCAAGAGCATAGAATCCAGGTAGAACTTTTGAATTTGTAGGACAGGAATTGAAGATTACGATTGCAATGTAATAATTTATAACCATGGAATATTAGTGTTTGGCCTTTTTTTATTATATATATATATATATATATATATATATATATATATATATATATATATATATAAATGTATATATATACATACATATATGTTAAGAAATGGACGAGGTAGAAAAATAAAATTTAAAAAAACATTTTATTTAAATTTAATGTTATTTTTAAAGATAAAAATATTTCTCTGTTTATGATAAACAGTATTAAATAACATTTACCGGCCTGAATGTCCGAGAATTTTTCATAGGTTCATGGTAATGAGTGGTTAAGGCACGTCAGCGTATATGAGGGTTCCGTATAGGATGCAGGTTCGAATCCTGTCTATGAACTAATATTTTCTATGAAAATTTCTCGGACATTCAGGCCGGTAAATGTTATTTAATACTGTTTATCATAAACAGAGCATTTGCTTAAATATTTTGTATCTATAAATAACAACGTTAAACATAAATAAAAATGTCTTTAATAAATACATATATATATATATATAATATATATATATATATATATATATATATATATGTATGTATGTATGTATGTATATATATATATATATATATATATATATATACACATACACACAGGCACAGACACGCAGACAGACACACATATATATATATATATATATATATATATATACATACAGATTCCGTAAGATGTAGTTATTTTTTAAAATATGTAATTACAGTTATTTCTGTTCTGTAATTTCTTGTTTTATAGTTTAGAAGTATTTTTCTAAATTACGAATAAATAAAATTGGTTTTCTCGCTATTCCCTTTTATAGTATCGTAAATAATAAATATTGTATAATAATAGGTACATATACTTTTATTCTCTAGGAAATATAAAATTATTTTTGTAAATAAACAACCTAATACACAAATAGGGTTTAATGCTAGAGAAAAGAATCTATAAATCCAGTTTTATATGTCTGTATTTTATAACTTTCTCTTGTTCTCGACCGTTTAAAATTGCGCCATCTTTCTTTTTACCTCCGGAAGTTTAACGGGAGAAGGATTGTGTAAAGACATTGGCAGTGAATGCTGAACAACATGCTCACATATGAAAAGATGTGAAGGTCCAGAAATGTAGTTCTACAGAAAGATACTGATAATCCCATGCGAGAAACATGAAGTTCTCGAGAAAAAAGAAACAAAATGGGGACTTATACTTAACATAAGTGCGGGAGAGTTGAAATTTCTAGCGCACATAAAGAGGAAAGAGGGCTAGGACAATTTGATACTGACAGCATAGATTGAAGAAAAGAAGGAAAGTCAAAAAAAAAGAAAAGAAAAAAAAAGCATAATCTACCTGGCTAACTTGAATAAATAAATGAGTCGCGTAACATGGTTAAGGAAAGATAACTAAAAAAAAAAAAAAAAAAGAAAGTTTACGAGGAACTACAAAGGATAAGAAATTGTGGAGAGCCATGAACGTCAACGTCCTGAAGGGACACGGCACATAGAATTATAAGTGAAACTTTATGGTGGATTAATACATTTAAATAGCAAATACGAATGCAAAAATTTGATAAGAGGTTAGTCCGATTAAAACAATATCACATGGAGTGACTTCAGAAGGTTTGTTGTTTGATTTTGTTTAGCGGCATATCAACACCTCTATGGGTTATTTAATTCCGAAATCTAAATAATTTAAGCACAATTTTATGGCATCAACAAAATATATTTTGAACGCAATTGTATGCCTTTATAGATAAGATAGAGTATTAGTCATTTTACTATAAATATGTGTTGTTAGTCCTTTTTTATATAAAAATTGTATTGGTGATTTTTTTTTTACTATAAAACAAGTATCTTTATACTTTCAAAGTGTTTTGTATGTGAGGGCAGGGTAAATATTTGACCATAGCTGGGACCTTAGCAGATGCTACCAACCAAGGCTATCGTGGATCTAGGAAAGGCATCGATTAAGAGGTGATTTCACGCATCTCAAACCCTCTGGTCTCGGATAAGAGTTCCTGCTGCCAGATACAGTTTATCGTCATGCCCAGAACTTAAGAAAGTATGGAGAGGGGAATCGAGTTTCAGAGCAAGTGTAAAATCAAAATGTCGAGAACAAAGAAAGAGACGAGAATGCGAGGAAAGGAAAGAGACAAAAGAGTGAGGAAAAGAATGAAAGAGTGGGGAAAAGAAAGAGACAAGTGATTGAGGAACAGAAAGAAACAAGAGAATGTAGAAAAAAGAGACAAGATGGTAAGGAAGAAAAAGAGGCAAGAGAGCGAAGAAAAGAAAGAGACAAAAGAGTGAGGAAAGGAAAGAGACGAGACAAGATAGGGAGAAAAAGAAAGAAACAAGAGAAAGAGGAAAAGAAACAGATAAGAGAGTGAGAGAAAAGAGGAAAGAGAGTGAGAAAAAAGAGACAAGAGGATGAGGAAAAGGAGGAAACAAGAGTGTGTGGCAACAAAAGAGATGAGACAAGATAGGGAGGAAAAGAAAGAGGCAAGAGAGTGAGGAAACGAAAGAGACGAGACACGATAGGGAGGAAAAGAAAGAGACAAGAGAAAGAGGAAAAGAAAGAGACAAGAGAAAGAGGAAAAGAAAGAGACAAGAGAAAGAGGAAAAGAAAGAGAAGAGAAAGAGGAAAAGAGAGTGTGGAAAAAGAATAAAAGAGAATGAGGAAAAGAAAGAAAGAAGATATTGGCGAAAAGAAAGAGAAAAGAGAGTGAGGAAGAGAAAGAGGCAAGAGAGCGAAGAAAAGAAAGAGACGAGGAAACGAAAGAGACGAGACAGGATAGGGAGGAAAAGAAAGAGACAAGAGAAAGAGGAAAAGAACGAGACAAGAAAGGGAGGAAAAGAAAGAGACAAGAGAAAGAGGAAAAGAATGAGACAAGAAAGGGAGGAAAAGAAAGAGACAAGAGAAAGAGGAAAAGAAAACAAGAGAAAGAAAAGAAGGAAAAGAAAGGGAGACAAGAGAAAGAAAAGAAGAAAAGAATGAGACAAGAAAGGGAGGAAAAGAAAGAGACAAGAGAAAGAGGAAAAGAATGAGACAAGAAAGGGAGGAAAAGAAAGAGACAAGAGAAAGAGGAAAAGAATGAGACAAGAAAGGGAGTAAAAGAAAGGAAAAGAAAGAGAAAAGAGAAAGAGACAAGAAAAGGAATGAGAAAGAGACAAGAGAAAAAGAAAAAGAATGAGACAAGAGAAAGAGGAAAAGAATGAGACAAGGGAAAGAGGAAAAGAATGAGACAAGAGAAAGAGGAAAAGAATGAGACAAGAAAGGGAGGAAAAGAAAGAGAAAAGAGAAAGAGGAAAAGAAAGAGACAAGAGAAAGAGGAAAAGAATGAGACAAGAAAGTGAGGAAAAGAGAGTGTGAAAAGAATAAAAGAGAATGAGGAAAAGAAAGAAAGAAGATATTGGCGAAAAGAAAGAGACAAGAGAATGTGGAAAATGAGACAAGAGAGTGAGGAAAAGAAAGAGGCAAGAGAGTGAGGAAACGAAAGAGACGAGACAAGATAGGGAGGAAAAGAAAGAGACAAGAGAAAGAGGAAAAGAAAGAGACAAGAGAAAGAGGAAAAGAAAGAGACAAGAGAAAGAGGAAAAGAAAGAGACAAGAAAGTGAGGAAAAGAAACAGATAAAAGAGTGAGGAAAAAAGAGGCAAGAGAGCGAGGAAAAGAAAGAGAGAAGAGAGTCTGAACAAGAAAGATACGAGAGAGTGGGTGAAAGAAAGAGAGAAGAGAGTGAAGAAAAGAAAGAGACAAGAGAGTGAGGAAAAAAGAAAGAGACAAGAGAGTGAGTGAAAGAAAGAAAGAAGAGAGTCGGGAAATAAAAGAGAGCAACAAAAAGGAAATAAACAAAATTGCACCAGAGGAAAAAAAAATGGCGAAGGTAAATGAAAGAAAAGAAACATATCTGGTAAATAGGAGAGTAAAAGGCGGAGGAAATAAAATTAGTTGCATTGGGTGAGGAGAGAAAGCAAATAGAGGGAGGGAAGGAGAGACACATGAGACAAAGAAATAGGAATGTAATAATTTGATTAGATGGTGGTCCGATTAAAACAATCACAACTTGAAGGATTTAGAAAAGACCTGTAAAATGGACCACTAGAAACTCAAATAAATAGTATTATCTATTTATTTATTTTTTATCAAATATTGGTTCGATTAAACGAGGAACGAACTTCTTCCTCTGGAATGGATTGATAAAAAAAACATAGAATTAATAAATGCAAATAGAATGATTAATCATATTTTTGGTAGTATTAAAAGTATTCACACAGTTCGAAGAACGCGACGTTTACCATTATGATATTGTAACCCACGAATCATTTTTTTTCCGTCTTTTTTTTCTTTCCGTCTTTTATTCTGAGTCTTTTTCTTTGTTTCTTTCTTTGAAGACGACCTTCTCCTCGGGCTATACGTATCATTGCTCTAGCTAGTTGCCCTAACAAACGCCTTCTTTCCTTTTCAAAGGTGTATTCTCCTCACTTGAAAAGGCTAGAAAATAAAATGGCAGATATTGCTCCAAAATATTCAATTGACATCCGACGACCTTTGAAGACCCAACCAGTCTTTTTCCCATCTAGCAAGCCAGCGGCAATGCCATTTAACTTTCAGAAATGCTATTTTGCCCAAATTCGCTTGCATATTCTGCGAGAGAATTCCTTGCTGTCGGCAAAATATGACGATGAAAACCTGCCGTGTTCCATTGGTATTTTTTAAAAAATTCTTTCCCTATCCTAACGACAATTTTATTTCTATTTTTCTTTATACCTTCCTTCATATATTCCTTCCTTCCTTCCTTCCTTCCTTCCTTCCTTCCTTCCTTCCTTCCTTCCTATATTCCTTCCTTCTTTCTTTTTTCTTTCTTTCTTTCTTTTTTCTTTCTTTTCTACTTTTTTCCATCCTTTTCTTTGAGTTCTTCTTTTTCTTTCTTTTTCTACTTTTTCCTTCCTTCCTTCCTTCCTTCCTTCCTTCCTTCCTTCCTTCCTTCCTTCCTTCTGTTTTCTACTTTTTCCACCCTTTCTTGCTTCCCGTTTAATTTTCTTTCTTTTTTTTATCTACCTTTGCTTCGTTCGTTTCTTCCTTATATATTTTTTATTTTTTCGACTTTGTTCAAACCATGCTTCTATGCTTCTTTCTTTCTTTTTTCCTTCTTTTTTCTTTCTTTCTTTTATTGATTTTTCTACTTTTTCTTTTTTCCTTCATTTCATTCATTCTTTATTTTCTACATCCCCCCCTTTCCTTCATTCCGACTTTTTGCTTGTTTGTTTGTTACTTTCTTTGTTTCTTTGTTTGATTGTTTGTCTCTTTCTTTTCTACTTTTATCCATGCTCTCTTTCACCTTGTCTTTCTTTCACCCTTGTCTTTCTTTCTTTCTTTCTTTCTTTCTTTCTTTCTTTCTTTCTTTCTTTCTTTCTTTCTTTCTTTCTTCTCCACCCACTTTCTTTCTTTCTTTCTTTCTTTCTTTCTTTCTTTCTTTCTTTCTTTCTTTCTTTCTTTCTTTCTCCAGCCACTTTCTTTCTTTCTTTCTTTCTTTCTTTCTTTCTTTCTTTCTTTCTTTCTTTCTTTCTTCTCCACCCACTTTCATTCTTTCTTTCTTTCTTTTTTCTTTCTTTCTTTCTTTTTCTTTCTTTCTTTCTTTTCTTTCTTCTCCACCCACTTTCTTTCTTTTCTTTCTTTTTTCTTTCTTTCTTTCTTTCTTTCTTTCTTTCTTTCTTTCTTTCTTCACCCACTTTCTTTCTTTCTTTCTTTCTTTCTTTCTTTCTTTCTTTCTTTCTTTCTTTCTTTCTTCTCCACCCACTTTCTTTATTTCTTATTCTTCTTTTGTTTTTTCTAACATAGTTTATTTCTTTGGATTTTGCTTTTTCTTTATTCCACTTTCCTTTTTCATAATTTTCATGATTTTCATTCTCCCGTTATAAACTACTGACGTTTGACTTTTTTATTTTCACTTTCTGCTTTCGGCTTCTCTCTTTCTTTCCAATTTCTGTGTCATCTTTCTTTCCTATTTTCTTATTTTCTGCTTTCTTTCGACCTTTTCTTTATTTTAATCTTCGGTTACATTTTTTCTTTCAACTTCGATTTTACTTTGTAGCTAACTTCATTCTTCATTTCTTTCTATTTTTCTTCCTTTCTTTTGTCGTTCTTTCTATTTTCTACTTCTTTCTTTTTATCTTTCTTTTTTCTTTCATTCTTTTTTCGTTCTTTCTATTTTCTACGTCTTTCTTTTTATCTTTCTTTTTTCTTTCATTCTTTTTTCGTTCTTTCTATTTTCTACGTCTTTCTTTTTATCTTCCTCCCTTTCTTTCATTCTTTTTTCGTTCTTTCTATTTTCCACTTCTTTCTTTTTATCTTACTTCCTTTGTTTCATTCTTTTTTCGTTCTTTCTGTTTTCTGCTTCTTTCTTCCCTACATCTCGCGTTTTCGCTTTATTTCCATTCTCAGTTATTTTCTCCTTTTTTTCTCTCTAACTTTTCTTATACTCTCAACGTCTTCCTTTCTTTCTACTTTTACCAAAAATCACTCTTTCCTTTTTTTTTCAAATATTCTTGGTCTTTTTCTTTATTCTTTTTTAGTTTTCCTTCTTAATCAATCCCTCCTTTCTTCACGACGTCTTTTCTATTGCAATAAAAACCAGATGGTAAAAGGAAAAAGAAACATTTTTGCACACATAATTCTCGCTAAATTCAATGAGAGGAACACATTTGAATATCACAGTAACATTTTCCATAGCAAAAGCTAACAATTAGTTTGCAGTATTCAATTTTAAATGCCGTCAAATGTCGAAGTTAAAATCTTCAAATCGAAATGCACATTTCTAAATCTTTTTGTCTTTATTTTAAAGTTTGTGCCTTCTGTAGTTTGAAGGAATTGAGAGTTCAAAAGACAGAAATTCTAAAAAATATCGCCTCTGGATGCGAATTTTGGCAGTGAATATTTTCAGGGTAGAGATTTTTTTTTAATTTTATAGAGATGCTTCTAAAAGCTTCTTAAGTCAGAATTTAATTAAATCTCATTTGATCATGTGAGTACGATTATACACACACACACACACACACACACACACACACATATATATATATATATATATATATATATATAGCAGCATTAAAATATGAAGTAATCGGTAACGAAATTATATCTCAAGGTATGCAGGTATATATTTATCTAACACACACACACACACACACACACACACACACACACACACACACACACATATATATATATATATATATATATATATAAATGTATGTATACGGAAAAAGAAAAAAGCATACACACACACATATATATGCATACATATATCTGAATAAAAAAGGAAAGATATCTTAGCTCAATACAAAATGTTTTATATATATATATATATGTATATATATATATATATATATATATATATATATATATATATATATATATATATATAATAGATGTAATCGGAAAAAAAATAATAATAACTGTGACATTCCTATATTTATTGAACAATTTAGTTCATGCCACATTGACTGAAAAAACCTACCAGTACAAAAGAATTCTTCTATTACCATATTCGTACAAAAACGCACGATCTTAAAATTTAAAAATTCACCCTCAGCGTTGAGACCGCACGCTCCAAAAAAATTTCTTACAATTAACAATAACACATTTCTAAAAACATTTTTCAGATTACATCTATATTTTCGTTGTCTTCTTATTACCGAGAAGTTAAAAAATCAAACAAATCTATTTCCATATCTGAAGATGTCTGTAGGAACAGATGAAAGCTTATAAAAAACTAAAAAGACCTTATGCAACTGTAATTTATAAACAGGGATCATATCATTCATCTGCAGGTTCGGGGTTAATGTACTTTATTAAATTTGTTTGCGAGGATGTATTCTCGCCATTTAAATCATTAACTTCTATATCTGTTTTTTTTGTATGAATAATTCATGCAATGTAAATTGAACTGCACCACATACTTGATATATATATATATATATATATATATATATATATATATATATATATATATATATATATATATATTGTTATCCATCTCAGATCTTGTTAAAAGTCAGGGTAGAAACAGTCAATCAAATATTTAATTTTACTTGTTCCATACTATATATATATATATATATAGTATTTATATATATGTAAATTTACATTGAGCACTATTTTGTAAAAAATAAAAATATCTATAAGAACACCGGATTTTATATCTTACTGTTCTTTTCTTTTATTTATATATATATAGTATATATATATATATATATATATATATATATATATATATATATATATATATATATATATATATATATATATATATATATATATATATATATACATACATATATATGCTATATCGTTTGAAATGTAATCATAGTATAAATCGATATTTAGGAAAAGCATACTAAAGTTCTACATATATATATACAAACGTATTGAACACACCCACACACGTATCTATACACGCTCATGTATACATATACATATGTATATATTTTACCGTAGAAATGTCTTAATGCAACCGTAAGTTCTATACTTGGAGTTTCTTATCTTGCATATGTCGCTTGTGGAAATCTCTGTCGGGGTTCCTACGTTCTAGTCAACTTTTTTTTCAAGAAAAATTAAATATAAAACTTAACCCTGTCACAGTGTCAATCACTTTTAAAGAAACTTGTATCAAAAGAGGGTTTGCTGGCCAAATATACGATTATATATATATATATGTGCATCTGTCTATCGAAGTTTTTACTATTTATTCATCAACAAATCCATATTTGTTATATCTATATGACTGTGCTTATGCATATAGAACCATTTTGATTACAAATGATATATATATAAACTATTACTGTATTCGAACTATAATATAAACGAAACTATGCACACACGCAAACACACACATATATATGCATACACACACACACATATATATATATATATATATAGTGATTTTCCAAGCGATGCTTAGATGTGGCACTAGGTCGAAAGTAACAGGGTAGCCAGTAAGGATCGAACTCACTACTCAATCGTAATTGTTCTAACGAGACAAGCTTGCTAACCATTACGCCGTCGCGATGGATGGATGTATGTATGTATGTATGTATGTATGTATGTATGTATGTATGTATGTATGTATGTATGTATGTATGTATGTATGTATATGTATGTATGTATGTAAAGCTAGATTGAATATAATTTTACCTAAACTGATCAGAATTTAAATGAAAATTGAAAGCGGCCGATAATTTTTTCAAAATTTACATTAGAATTTGTTTATTGTTAAATCAATATTTATTCATTTAAACCAATATCTATTTATTAAAAATAAAAAACGTTTCCACCAGTAATTTACGGCACAAAGGTTAAGTGAAATGATATCTATAGATATGAGTAGGTTGATATATATATATATATATATATATATATATATATATATATAGATAGATAGATAGATAGATAAGAACAAACCGAAATAGCTAGCTAGCTAGATATGAACAAACAGAAATAGATATTTAGTTGGATAGATAGTTAGACAGCTAGGCAAGACTGACAGACAGATATCGCAAGATAGATCGATCGATCGATCGATAGTGAGAGATAGCGAATGAGAATACACACCCAGACTTATATATCTGACCTCTATCTGCCGTGAACATCCACACACACACATATATATACATGTATACACACGCGTAATGCACACTTATTATTAATTAAAAAAAAAAAACTAAATGGGGCGTCTAGTTGAAATACAAAGTGTCCAAAATTATCATTTTGAATTAATAAAAAATTCGCATTAGAAATAAAACCGTCAATTCTTAAGTAATACATGCACACACGCACGCACGCACGCACGCACACACACACACACACACACATATATATATATATATATATATAAAGACTGTTTAACGAAATCATGAAAAATGATAATGCTTTCTTGTTGAGGAAAATATGAATGTTATTTATTTCCGTTTCAAAATACATTTATCAAAGTGTGTTTCTATCTATCTATCTATCTATCTATCTATCTATCTATCTGTCTGTCTGTATGTCTGTGTGTCTTATGTGTCTATCTATCTAACCAGCTATTTATTTATGTCTATCTATTTATCTATCTATCGTTGTCTGTTCATATCTATCTATCTATCTATCTATCTATCTATCTATCTATCTATCTATCTATCTATCTGTCTGTCTGTATGTCTGTGTGTCTTATGTGTCTATCTATCTAACCAGCTATTTATTTATGTCTATCTATTTATCTATCTATCGTTGTCTGTTCATATCTATCTATCTATCTATCTATCTATCTATCTATCTATCGTTGTCTGTTCATATGTTCATATCTATCTATCTATCTATCTATCTATCTATTAGTTTCTTTATTTTTTGTTTATTCGTTTGAATCTATCTATCTATCTATCTATCTGTCTGTCTGTATGTCTGTGTGTCTTATGTGTCTATCTATCTAACCAGCTATTTATTTATGTCTATCTATTTATCTATCTATCGTTGTCTGTTCATATCTATCTATCTATCTATCTATCTATCTATCGTTGTCTGTTCATATCTATCTATCTATCTATCTATCTATCTATCTATCTATCTATTAGTTTCTTTATTTTTTGTTTATTCGTTTGAATCTATCTATCTATCTATCTATCTACTTTAATCAGTTCATACTTATCACTATTTAATTTCAATTTTCTCATTCTTTCTTTCTTTCTTTCTTTCTTTCTTTCTTTCTCGGCCTCTTCATTATCTATCATCATTTCACGACTTTCTTTCTCTATCCGCCACTCCTGCTCATATCTATCTATCTATCTATCTATCTATCTATCTATCTATCTAAGTCTTTTAATATCTTTCTACCTTGTATTATTTGCCTTGTGTTTTTGTGAATGTGCGTGTTTTGCCTCCATGTGTGCGTATTTCGTCAATGTGCTTATGCGTAGTTGTGTACGCGTGTCTTTTCCCAAATTTTCACATCTATCACGAAATACACTTAAATATTTCAGTCTACTTAATGATATAATTATATAAATTCTTTATATTTCGGTTCAAATTTAGAAAAGACTAAAATTTGATTTGTACCGAATGATCGCAGAACCAAAGAAATAATAAAAATAATTCTTATGATATGCTAATATATGCATAAAACAAAGAATATATATATATATATATATATATATATATAAAATAGAATAAACAATACGAAAAAAATTATTTATCACAATTCTTTTTTTAAACTTTACATTCTCAGGGATTTTTTTTTAATAAAACGAACTGATTCTAAAAACCCTAACTTTCCACTGCGTACAAAAGAAATCATTTGACACGGCTTTTCTTAGTTACTTTTCCTTCTCTGTGTCTGTTGTGGGGACCTACCTACAAATGGAGTCTTCCACACCTATATAATATGGCTACCACCTCTGAGTAGAGGACGACCGAGTGAGGGTCACTGAGTCAGGACACCAGTGAGAGAAAGTACTCTCCAGTTTACATTTACCTTTCTACTACGTTTCCGAGAATATACTATTTAACCTTATATACGGGTCCGTGTTATCTTTCTATGGTTCTACCCCATAACAACTGGCGACGAGGATGAGATCCGTGTTTGACAAATTAATTCCCAAACAGGCAAAAATATGTAAGACCGAAAAAGGACCAAAAAAAAAAAAAAAAAAAAAAAACGATTTCTTCCAGGTCAGAAAATCTTTTAAAAAAGTTTTCAGAAGAATATGCCGTACTGGGAGGAGGGCACGATCACTTGAAGGATCGTCGAGATGGTGTATATAATACAAGGACCAAGACATACCCACAAAAGACATATTAATCAAATTAAAAAAAAAAACGGCATGAAATAGATTCTAACAGCATACAGGATGAAGTGGAAGAACCCATCGAGATCATTTACGATACATTTGACCTCGCCCCCCCCCCCCACAACATACGCCTGAACAACGAAAGTCAGGGAAAAAGAGGAAATTTACTGAACCTTTAACTATCAACCCCAAAAAGAAAAGGTATTAAATTTCTGGGAAGTAATAAACCCTTTTTACCGAGTAAAAAGCTTGGGAGGGGGGTGTTGTGGAGACCTTCCTACAAATGGACTCTTCCACACCTATATAATATGGCTACCAACTCTGAGTAAAGGGGAGTCACCAAGTGAGGGTCACCCAGTAGTAACCATAGAGTGAGTGAATGAGTGAGTCAGGACACTAGTGAAAGAGAGTACTCTCCAGTCCACATTTACCTTTTGTACTACGTTTACGAGAATATACTATTTAACCTTATATTCGGGTCCGTGTTATCTTTCTATGGTTCTACACCATAACAGGGTCTATAAATGACTGTAATGCTATATCTACACAATTTAATGACGATTCTACTGTCATCAGGCAGTGCTTACAATGTGCGTTCAAAAATTATCCGCCTTTATGTTTTCACGCCGAAACTTATGCCGCGTCGGCAAAATCCTTTCCGTGGGAGGTGACCCCACCCTTTCCCTGAAAATGTTCGTGCCGTAGTCCGCGTCCGTTACCGGGTGTTACGCCCAGAGTGCAGACCTGTAGTGCGCGCTCGTCGAATTGTCTTATTTTACGCAAGATAACCGAATGTATCAAGCAGGGATATTTTATTAAGTTTTACGAAAATATTAGTTATTGTTATGGTCCGGTTCCTCTAACCACGGAGATAGTCCAACGTAGAACCAATAAAGAAGAACTCGAACACAGGTATGGAATAACACAGATATATTAGAAACAGTAATATATACAGAGAAGTAGAAAGTGTTAGTACGAACAATCAGGTTTAGTAGTAATTGTTTGAACGCGACTCTGTTTCGGGCTGTCTCTGACTCGGCTGACTGACTCGCTCTGACTGACTGACAGACTCCTGACGGACTTCACTCCAGACTTCAGACTTCACTACAGACTTCAAACTGAACGGTATTTAGTCACCCCCACACGAGGGCATCATGTGGCACAAGGCCGGTTTAACGTGGGATCTCTGAACCCGTAGGCTCGGCCAAAAATATGCCCTTTGAACCCGTATAAACGGGTTCAGGGTCGGTTTACCTCTCCGAAAGAGACTCCGCCCTTCGGTGTAGCCTCGTTCGGGTTCCTCCCCGTCCGAAGGCAGAGAGTTCAACCGATCAGCCGATCAGCCGGTCGCCCGACTTCGGACTGAACTCCCTGCTTCCTCTTGAGGCGCAGTATTTATTACGTATGGAATAGTCCATTATGTTATTATGGGTAAGGTCACATAACCGTTATACTCAAGCTCACACAATCCAGAAGATACAGCAGTTCTTTGGCGATGATGACATGACCAAAGCTCAGATCGAGGAATGTTACAATCACTTCAAACGTGTCACACCTCAGTATAGAGCGATGTCCCCTCCTGCAGGCCATCCATGTAGCCGAAACGAGGTGCCGATTGAGAAGGTTCGACGAATAGTTATGGAAGACCGTAGTGTAACAATCCAAGAAATTGCTCACGAAGAAGGAATCATCGCAGTATCAGTGCATTCCACTTTAACGGAAGATTTGTGAATGTGGCTTATTCTGCTCAGATAATCAAAGCTTCCTGATCAAGAAAATACACCAATTATTTGACAGGTTTTTTACTCTGCCGACGTAGCGACTTCTGGCTCTTCCCCAATCTGAAAACCACGCTGAAAGGGAAGCACTTTGAGTCACGAGAAGAATATGAAGAAAGCTACGGTAGACTGCTATAGCTTTACAGAGAAGAGGTCTATGGAATAATCCCAAGGGGATTATTTTGGAGGAGATTAAATAAAATTTGTAAAATGGACAAAACTGATTTTTTTTAAACAAATGTCCGATAGTTTTTTAACGCACCTCGTATTTTTATTAATTTTTGTTTGATATTCATTAAAAAAAGAAAGATAAAAAAAAGCGAAACAGAATTAATAATTAACAATCTAATAATCTAATAATATCGAATAAAAGATGGCAGCTTTTCAGTTTAGGCCGTAAGAATATGCTGTGAGGCAAGAATAGAACCGATGTACATCATTGTAGGGAAAATACCCTTCAACCTGGCGTGATTTACCGCTCGGCTACTGAGGGAGTGACCCAGCAAAATGACTATTTTAGCTTTTGAAGAAAAGCACACTTCCTCGTTGTAGAAGAAATACCATTTAACCAGGCGTGATTTACCGCTCAGCTACTGAGAGACTGATCGTACAACAGGGCTCAATTTTCACTTTTAAAGAAAAGCACAGTTCTTCATTGTAGGAAAAATACCCTTCAACCCGGCGTGATTTACCGCTCGGCTACTGAGAGAGTGACCCAGCAAAATTACTCTATTTTACCTTTTTAATAAAAACACGCTTCCTCATTGCACAAGAAATACCATTTAACCAGGCGTGATTTACCGCTCGGCTACTAAGGGTGTGCCCCAGCAAAATTACACTCTTTTCCCTTTTAAAGAAAAGCACACTTCCTCATTGTAGAAGAAAATACCATTTAACCAGGCGTGATTTACCGTTCAGCTACTGAGAGAATGATCGTACAACAGGGCTCTATTTTCCTTTTTAAAGAAAAGCACACTTCCTCATTAGGTATTTTTCTCGAAATC